AGTTTTAACGTAAAGTGTAGCGTACATATAATTTTTGTTCAGTGGTACTATATATGTTAGGCCAGGCATGGCCAACATCTAATGAATTTATACGGCCCGCGATTAATCTTTCAATATTATCTACAGAAGTCCGAATAGCTCGATAAAAAATACTGACGACTAAGAAAAAGAATAAAAAAAAACGTCAACAATGCACTGCGCGTTTAGAGTTAACTCTCCATTACAAATCTCGAAAGTACAGCATAGAATGTTGATAAAGCATGATAATGTGAAAAATGTATTTGTAATCTCTATGTACAATTTAGTCTCTACGCGGTAACACCACAATGAAATCTCGCACTACCTCAAAATCTTCCTAGGGCAGCCTCTGGTTTGGCTCGTGAAAAAAGTTCTTTTTTCCATTTCGGCCCTGGGGCAAAAACTGTTGGCTACCCCTGTGTTAGGCTTAAAGAACGAAACGCTCATTGAACGAAAAACTTCCACAACGGGTTGTGACTTACCGAAGAAAACCACAAAGCGAAACTCGGGTCGTGGCTTTCATGATGTTTGGCCTATGGCTTTTCTTAATCTACGTGTTTTTGAGATAAAGAAAAGCCATAACGCGTTCTGAACGTTAGCTGATGCAAATACAATAGAGGATGATACAAGGTACATATGTTTGTAACTTTAAAAGAACGTATTCTTGCCTCGAAACATTTTTATTTATAAATTTTAATGCTGAACCACATCAAGAACGCCACAATGCGAATTTTGCTTTTTGGTCTTTTTGAGTTAAGCAGGAGTTTGGAAAATTCTACATCCACAAATTTCTATACCTAATTGTCCTTTCTTCATTTCGAGAATGGATTTCTATAGATGAAAATTAACAACATTTGGAAAGACGAAGCTCAGATGAATTATACACAAATGTCCGGTTTGTACGGGAAGTGACATTTTTTCAATTCAAATACTTCTCCTGAAAGACGTTAAGATAGATGACAGATATGATTCTATTGCTAACAGGAAAAGTATGATGTACAGTGCATGTGCAAAGCAGTAGTAATTTGAGGTGACAAGCACATAGTTTAAATTAAATAAATCAATAATATCATAAAAATTGCAGCCCGGCATTGTGATGATGGCAAAATAAATATTTGCTCGATTCCATGATATGTTTATTAATTGAAGTTTTCTGTGTAAATTTCGTTAAATAGGGTTATTATATTTTTCAGTCATATTAACTCTTGTTTCGATTTTGGCTATTTTTGTTATTAATATTTTTTTAAAGGTCTTTCACATTAGTCAAGTTACTTGAATTGAAGCAACTCTAAATCACTTAAATAAATAACAGGTTCATATTACTCGACTTAAAATATTATTCTAAGTTTTTATCAAGTTTGAAATGCGGTTGACGTTCTTTCAACTTTTACTTGCCTCGAATAACAACGTGAAGACTTCTTTAATTCTTGCTGATATCGGTTCTCATATTGATTTTTTTTTTGTATCTTATTGATAGTCATAATAAATAGAACATCAAACTGCTCTACACACATTCTTATGTTATTTTTGTATGCTTCCCTGTCTTCTGTTGCCAACTCTCTTAATACAGTCGCAGATGCACAAAGGCGACTTTTGCTAATCCCGTTTCTCATTATATTGAGAGTTTCCGTTTTTCATATTTTCCAAGTTTATTAATTAATCGTTCGTTTTCAGTTGTTACTAAAATGCCGTTAAGCTCTGACTCACGATGATGTTTGAAATATTTACTTGATTGACATTAATTTCAGTATACAGTATGAACACAAACTTGAATTCAAGTTACTTCAATTCAAATAGCTTGACAAATGTGATCAAGTTTTATACTATTCTTCTTTTGTTACTAACAGAAATATGTTTATTAAAAAATATATACAAGTGGTAAAGATATTTTAGAACGTACTTCGGGATTATTTATAAACTGTGTATCATGGACGAATACATATTTATACAGCTACACATTTATTGTCTATCCATTTAAATAAATAATATAAACATAACATTTATTATCTCAATGTGATAATCTAAATTACGCGTATACATTATAAACGTACCTTCCTTGTTTCCTATTTGGGTGACAAAATTAATTAATTTAAAAGATGGATGTACCGTCACTACAAAGTTTTTCGCTTACATTTGTATTCTCTGGTGGTTAAGATGCAATATGATATTAAATTTTTACACATGTTTGAATATTGCGACTGCTGACTTTCTGTATTTCATACGGATATGCCTCTTAATATTATTTTACAATGGAAAGAATATTATAAAATATATATTTTGTTTTTTATTTAGTTACAATCTAAAGTATTTTTAGTCTGTAGATTTGATAAATCCTAAAAATTGCTGAGTTTAAACCGGTTACGTATTAAAACAAATTACATTTATTTGTTTCTGTAGATACAGTAGAGTTAGTTAACTATAAAGATCTGAACACATCTGCATTAAAGCTTTAAGTTTGATTAAAAAGCTGAATTGTGTCTAATGTAACATACAGTAAGTACAGTACATCATAATAATGCATATCGCGTTAAAGTGAGAGAATGTGTCTTACTTCATCTGCTTTTTACCCCTTCTTCTAATCAAATTTAATAAAAGATTAAAAATCGTTGTGAGAAAAGTCGTGTATTACGCAAATTACTGTAGAATCTCGGCACAGACACAACGTTTGGCTGATCAGACTGCTACATTAGCTTGTATTTTTTCAACAGACTGCAATATTGAAAAACGTAGGAGAGAAAATCAGAATGCAAAGAGCGTGCTCTTTTAATTATGCTAACCGCTCTGCTTTGATACCGAGTCTGAGATTTCCTATTGAGAATGCGATGCTCAAAATGGACAAAGTGACTAAAGAATCGTATATCGGTGGGATCGTCGCTGTGATAGCCTTTTACGTTTCCAATAAATCCTTTATATAACATTAAAAGAGCATATATGATTTAGTAATATTTTATATGTCTAGTAAAGAAAAATCTTTTTTTATTGTTACATAATTCATTTTTTTATGTGAATTTCTTTTTCGCGGAAGTTTTTTGCTAGTTTTTGGCGATACCGCAAAAGAATTTAACAAATCTATCTGTCCCTCATCACTGCCACACTATTGCCCTGGACAGATATATCTGCCCTTGACTGTTGAGTGGTTAACTCTTCTGTGTTCACAATGTTTTATAGTTCCTATTTTCTATGGTATACATACCATAATAGAATAGTTAATTTCATCTGGTGCTTTTCCATTTTTGTATATACTAGCTGGGGTATCCGGCTTTGCTCAGGGAGTTGATATGAGATTGTGTGGTAGTTGGAATAAAAGGATAAACTTTAAAATATGAAGTAAAAAAAATTATTGAAACATATTCTAATTATTTACAATACTAGTTTATAAACAACATTTTGCTTAAAATCTTTTACAAATAGGCGAAGGCATATAACTCACTGACTCATTGAACTCAACAGTGGTTTTTGCAACGTAGCCACTACTGAAAACGAACTCATCGACCAAATTTATCCAAACATTGTTTATAACTATACCAATCTGGAGTGACTATTTCAAAGGGCAATTTTGGCAAGTAAAAATAATATTGTCGACGATATCAACTTTAATATTCGAAAGAAAATTCCTGGTAATATTCAAAAGAAAATTCAAAACAGGCAAGAGCGCCTCCTCTTTTAAGTTTGGGCATTGTATAAAATATAAATCAAATCAACTTTTTATTAACAAATACACTAAGTACAATTTACACAGTTTTCACGCTTTATTTTCGATTTATATTCAGTCACTGTATCACTTTGACTACTCACACTTCACTGTTTGTTTTTATTCACTCACTGCACTACTTTGGAATTTTCACTTCTTTTTCGGTTCTTCCCTTTGTCACTGATAAGAAACTGAGAATCGAACCCACGACTGATCTTGCTTTATGTATACGTTGGATAGAGACTTCGCCGTCTATACCCTTATTATTTATAAAAACCCTCCACTCTCGATTTCCTTGAATTAGGAAATCCATTCTTCTAGACAAACAGAGGGTTATTCATAAGAATAGTTTGCAGATTAAATGGTGCAAGAGTAATAATTACTCGGTATCCCCGGCTAACCCCTCACAGCTGGATCTGGCTTTTCATCTGCTGTAACGTTTTTTTTTTTTTTTGGGACCCGCAAACTTCATATCATTGTTATCTATAACTTTTGGTACAGCTTTAAAATACTCTTCTGTTTTCTTTTGTGAACTCAATCTCTTTCAATTTTCGAGATCGGTTTGTAATTTTATAAATGTTGCAAAAATTCTCTGTAATAAAGATTTTTCTTGTGAATGAAATATATTTTACAGATAAGAACAGTTTGTTTACAACAGACGAAAATACTATGAAATTGATTTAATGTAATTATTCGTCCACAAGTGTTGTTACCCGTTTCATTCACTGGTTTCGAAATGAGTGATTATCATCTTGTATCTGAATTTGTTTCTTAATCCACGTTAAGACATGAGACAAATCATACTAAGGCCATGTTTTTTAAGGCGTATCTTTTTTCTTTTAACTCTTTCCGCCCTGTGGGCACTAAGAGGGCCTGTTTTTGAAAGCTCATTATGGGTTCGGCCAGACATATCCGAACGGACCACTCCCCCGAAAAATTTCTGGGAATTCATCGACCCGTTCGGATTTGAACCCAGGTCCCCCAGAGCAGTAGGCTGCCACCTTGAACGCTCGGCCATCCGGCCGCTAATGTTTTCGTCTCATAAATTACTACTGATGTTTTTAATTTTTAGTAGTTTTGGTAGAAATATTATGATTTAAAAAGATTAAAAAATAATTCTTTTATTTTTAAATCGCTGCATATCGTTTACTATTTTAGAACTATCAAAATCTTGACTCTATCATTTTGTATAGTTTTGTCCTAAACACAACGATAAAAAAAATTAATAAAAATATTTTATATCTGATAAAAAAAAACAATACACTGAGTACATCGATTAATAATTCGTTAACTCTCAGTATTATAGAGAAACAATAAAATAATTGTGCAATTGTTAAGAGCAACGTTACAGTTTCCTATTCAGAAACGTTTTGTCTTGGTGTGACAAAAAGAACCTGAACAAAATGCATTTAAAAAATTCTAATTTTTATCGGAGAGAACTCATTCTCTGTGGATACAATCTGAAAAACAATATCCACATTATTGAGATCTGGAGTCGAAGTTTGAAAAACGCACCATTTCGATGCAGATACTGCAACAGAACTTTTGATACGAGAGAAGAGTTACGAAAGCACATTAATGAGGTGCATGTAAATCCACGTAACGAAACTAGTTCAGGTAAATCATTGAAACGCGAAGACTTCAGAACATACGGAGAATTCTTTATCTTGTACCAAGACAAAATTTTGCATGATTTATTTTTCGAGGTATGTACTGAAAAATTAATTTTATTATGTTTTCAATTTTTCTTTTATTACTACCATCAACTCTAGAATTATCGGGTTATGGTATTCACGGAATCTCAAAGTAATTTCAAAATTATTTCAGAATAACTGTGTGCAATAATATACATTTGTTTTTATATTTCGTATGCGATCTAAACAATGTAAAAAGTATAGCATATTATTTACCACGTCACCAGCCAGAGTAATGCTAAAATAAAAGTTCAGTATATTATTTTAACAGTTTAAAAATATAATTACTGTCTCACAGTTATTTTCTCTTACGTAGTAAAAATACTCGTCTTGAATATAATGAAAATATTCATAGCCATTTAGTAAATGTCAGATTTAATTAAATTATTTCTTTGATTTTAACAGTTTATGTTATTTAAGTATAAAATTACATCTTTTAAATATAACTATGCAATGTGTAAGAATCTCTGGTTTTAAATTGGAAATCAGCATAACGATGTTGTTCTTTACTTCGTTGCTTTATGACATTCTTTATATTTGTTTGGCAATTTAAAATATATATTTACCTAATTCGTCATAGCCAAATTATGGTCACATTTTAAAATATTATCGTGTTTAATTTTAGGAGAATTGTCATCATTTTCACATTACGATCATGGAAGTGTTTGTTAGACCTGGGAAGATAGTTTTCCATTTTCACTCGATTTTATTTTTACAATACATTTAGTTGTACTAGATATTTTTTTATTTTTAAGTTCATTTCATATTATTATGCCAATACGAAAGAAAAAACGTGTTCAGGAGAATCAACGAATTACAGCCAAAAACTAAAATATTGGCGCGAATACTCACGGAGGACACAGTTCTAATCCTCCTAGATTACATATCGAATTGCTTCTGTTGATATTAACGAAAGAAACTACAACTAGCACAAAATATAAAATATTAACATACGAGCAATTCAAACAACAATATTAATATATCGCTGTTCGAGACAAAAATACAGCCTTAATAAAAATATATATACTGAGAAAAAATAACGATAAATTACATTTATAACTTCTTCAATTATAAAGCGAATTTTTATACACTTAAGAGAGCAAATACGTCGTTTCGCGACAACAACAAAAATTGGATAAATTATATTGAAAAAGCAATTTATGTGATATCCAACATAATTAGTTAAAGATGTAGCTAATACAACTCATGTAATAAATTGGATTAACGTAATCAGTAATATAAGGTTATACACTTTGAAATATTTCTTTATTGTCTTTTGCATAATTTTATTCAAAACGAATATAACTTGATGGAAGAGGTGACAACAAACATTTTCCACGACTTTCACTGTTAGAAGAGAAAAAAATTTTTTTTTTTACATAAAATATACAATGGAATATTGCAGAGTTCTAAGTTTGTTCTCCGATTAATTTCTTTCTATACAAAGATTAAAAAACGTTCACATACGAGATGATAATCACTCATTTCAAAACGAGTGAATGAAACAGTACAGATAACAACACCTGTGAACGAATAAGACATTTCAAAATACTGGAATACTTACAGGAAAAAATTTCTATTGCAATCTTAGCTATTCGAGATTGCGTTTACTTCAGTTTCAAACAGCTAATATTCGAATAGAAAGTTCTCTCTGGAGGCAACCTAATTGTAGTTCGCTCATGTGTAGCATTGCCTTATTATTTTAATTGAATTTAATAGTATTTTCGTCTTTAGTAAACAAACTGTTTTTATATGTAAAATATATTTCATTCACAAATAAAATCTTTATTACAGAAAATTTTTGCAATATTTACAAAATTACAAACCGATTTCGAAAATTCCAAGAGATTGAGTTCACAAAACAAAACAGAAGAGTATTTTAAAGCTGTATCAAAAGTTATAGATAACAATGATATGAAGGTTGAGGGTCCCGAGAAAAAAGAGAACATTAAAGCAGATGAAAAGCCAGATTCAGCAGAAAGCCGTCATGAATTCCCTCCGGAGAGGGTAGATAGCAAACCTGAGATGGGCAAAATTTAAGCTAATTAGAAATTCTGAAACGTTACTTATATTTACAAAATTTTTATTATTGAAGTGCTGTCAACACGTCCTTTACTTTTCTTCCGTTTACATAATTAACTTTAAATTTGGTGAAACATTTTTAAAATTCTAAATTATAAAAATTGTAACTTTGACATTTACCTATAACAATAAAATTGTTTCAATTTTAATTTTTTTATTTTCTAATTCTATCATTAATTTCCTATAATTACAAACATATCGGTATAGTATGAAAGTATCGGTACAAGTAATTAATCTGAATATTAAAGTAACGATTAAAAAAAAATAATAATAGTATAACGTTTACACCAGGGGTGTCCAACCCGCGGCCCGCGGGCCGCATGCGGCCCAAGGCAAGTTCTAATGCGGCCCAATAAACGTGTAAACAAAACCGACAAATGTTTAAATTCTTTCATAATTTATTTATTTCAACGGCATAAACTCAAAAAATAAGTTTTACAAGCCATAAATCTTTATTTATATTTTATTTTTGAGTGGAAAGGAAATATTTTCAAATACTTGGAGATGTGTGAATGAAGAAAGATTATTAAATAAAGCTGGAGTTGTGACTCAAAGGATTATAGACCCAAATTTGGGGAAAGGACAGAAAGAGAGAAAGGACAGAAAAGAGAGAAAGGACAAAAGATAAAAAGTAGTGAGAAAGGTTAAATAGATCTTCTGTTATGCAAATATTGACCCTTAATTCTCCAACCTTTCTCACTTCTTTACCTTTTGTTCTTTCTCTCCTTTCCCCGCATTTTGGTCTATAATCCTTTGAATCCCAACTCCAGCTTTATTTAGTATTCATTCCAGCATTGCAAGATTTGGCTACTTTGTGCCAAATTTGGCTACTTTTTTTGTTTGCCGTAAAAAATATAATTTGGTGCTTTGGCTACTTTTTCGGCTACATATTATTTGTAAATATATTAGTCAAATAAAAATGCACTTTAAAATGGTGTTTCATCGCTTTTTATTAATTAAAGACCCAAATTAAACAAATATTTGTTTTTTTCAAATAAATTTTCGTTTGTCTCTTTTATAATAAATGAATTTATCTATTTCTAAGTAAACGTTGAAAGTGTCTGTAGAAGTAATTTTTTAAAATATTCTTTTTCGTGATAAAGTTTTAATACTTATTACTATAATCTAGATATATTAATCCTTAAATATTAATATACTTGTATATTTAAGGATTGCGCCATAAGTATGTATAATATATTAATACTTGTGGCCCAAAACTCCTTGACTTCGTTCAATGTGGCCCAGAGAAACAAAAAGGTTGGACACCCCTGGTTTAGACCTATCTACCTAATGATGTATTATAATCTAATTAGGAAAGAAAACTAGACAAAGATTATACTTTCTGCCTGGATGGGTCAGTTTTACCGGAGGTGTTGNTTAAATATTTTTATATATTTCAATTTTAAAAATGTTCGAACTGTTTTAAATTCGAATTTGTTATTGCGTATTGGTTCGATTATAGAACGATTGTAAACGTTTCAGAAAATTGATCAAATTGAAAATAGTTCGTTTGATTTTCGGCAATTCTCTTCAGCGGTAGGTGTTATATAACAATTACTATGGTTATTGAAATATTGGATGTAAATGGGGTTTGCTTGCAAAACCTCCGCTGACGAAGTCGCGGGTAACAGCTAGTCCTTAAATATACTTGCATATTAGGCCATAAGTATATATAGTTGTGGCCCAAAACTCCTTAACTTCTTTCAATGCGGCCCAGAGAAACAAAAAGGTTGGACACCCCTGGTTTACACCTTTCATAAAACAATGTTTTATAAATAAAACAATTCGTTACACTTCTAACATACTTATGTATATAAAAAGAAATATCTTTAACATAGAATACATCAAAATTAAAACAAGAACCAGTAGAATCACTGATATAAATAAAAATAGAAGCGGACTAAAATGGAAGTTTATGTTAAACGGCTACCCCAACAGAATAATTAAAAGCTAGGAAAAAAAGCTAAACGATAAGAAATATGAAAGAATAAAAACAAACGACATCAGATATATTAACTTTCCGTATATATGAGGTCTATACAAAAAAATAGATTAAGAATTGAGAAAAACAAGCGTAAAACTTGCACCAAATTATGAAAAACTAGCTGCAAGTACCTTCTTCTCAGGGTTTTGACCTGTTCGTACATTTATGTGTAATATAGATTTTTAATATATATAAAAGACTGTTTCTCTTCCTCTAGATAATCTTTCTCTGATTCGATGTGTTTCCCTATAATTTTCAAGTTGCTCTTCTGTCTGCTGATTTCTGTCTCGTTGATAATTTTCTCGTAGCCATCTTAGACATACTTCTATTTCTTCCGTGGTTTCATTTCACCGCGTCATCTTTTGCCTTTGAGATATGATTCGAGACCGCAAAATTTCTTTCTTACGCTTTGGCATTGTTTTGTATATTTTACTTTTCACGCTTAACTATTCACTTTTCACTTTCTATTTTTTTCTGTTATCCGTACACTTTTACTTATGAAAAGTCAACTGAAGCATGTGCATCACACGTCTCCAAAAGTCATCCCCCACTACTCACACATAACGGTCCTCGACTATTCCTAAACATTTAAGATTAAGATTCAATTATAGCCAATCTAACCCGTTTTCACAAAATGAAAGAATTAGGTCCCCCGTTTCAAGACTAATTAGAGAATTTTTACATGGGTCTAAAAATATATTCGATTTTCCGCAAAAACGCAAAACACCGCATCTGCAAATCGCGTACCGCACCGCATCTCCTGTAAATCTTGCACGTCGCTTTCTCTTAACACTTCAGTCGTTACTTAAGAACCTCTCCCCGCGGGGAAAATTTCGAAAAATCCCTTCTTAGTGTACGTTCTCATGACTCACCCTAACTGTGTACCAAATTTCAACGTATATCTTTTAACTGTTTGGACTCCGCGATTCTTATTATTATTCGGAGTGGCTATTTCAAAGGGCCATTTTGGCAACTAAAAATAATATTGTCGACGATATCAACTTTAATATTCGAAAGAAAATTTAAAACTGGCAAGTGCTTTTCCTCTTTTATGTTTGGGCATTGTATAAAATATAAATCAAATCAACGTTTTATAAACAAATACACTAAGTACAATTTACACAGTTTTCACACTTTATTTTCGATTTATATTCAGTCACTGTAATACTTTGACTACTGACACTTCACTGTTTGTTTTTTTCACTCACTGCGCTACTTGGGAATTTTCACTTTTTTCGGTTCTTCCCTTCGTCACTGATAAGAAACTGACGTTCGAACCCACGACAGACCTTGCTTTATATACTGCCATCAATGGGTAGTCCCAACCATACAAAATAGGCTTCGAAAGGTCCACAATGTTTCAGAACATCCCACAACATTCGAGAGAGTTCTGGAATGTTCCACAATGATCTGGGATGTTGCGCGATGTTCCCGAACGTTCCAGAACATCCTGGAACCTTCTGGAATGTTGGTGCATTCGAAAACTCTCGAATGTACTGGATGGTTCTAGAATTTTCCAGAGGGCGAAAATTCCAGCCTTATATCTTCAACAGCACGCCCTTCAGGTAAAAATGGAAACATTCTTTATGGACGGGGTGTAGAACGCTTGATCGTACCGAGATTTGTTTTTGAGTTTTAGCGGCACGCACATTGTACACTTACCTTTATTATACATATTGATGATAATTATTTTAAGATTTCTGCTGATGCATCTAATTCTTTGTCACCTATATTTTTTATATGTTCAATGGGAATTCAATCTGGTCCAGTTGCCTTACCTTCGTTCAAGTTTATAATTGCATGTTTCACTTTTTCTACCATGATGTCTGGGCCTTCTTCATCTATTTCAGGTTCTTCAAAATACCTTTGGTCTTAATAAAGTTTTCAATATGTTTCTCCCATTACTTTTCATTTCTATGAAATTTGTTGGTTTTTTTCATTTTACACTTCTTAGTGGAAATTTTCCTGTTAGTTCTTTAATCTTTTTATGTAGGTCTTTCGAGTTATGGTCTCTTTCCAATAATTCCATATCCTTGCATTTAATTTTTAGCTAGTTTTCTTTTGCTCTTACAATTTGTTTCTGTATTTTTCTGTGTATATTCATATACATTTGTTGATTTTTATTTTTATACTTCTTTCTTTCATCTATACCATTCCTCAGCAACAGACTAGACACATGCAGGCAGAAACTGCGGTTTCCTCAGTGTCCAACAGCTAAAATTCCAATAGAAAGTTGTAAGATTTCATTTGCCAATTGAAAGAGTTGTAAGATTTCATTTGCCATCCATGGCTTATTCTTTTCAATTTTTTTTATTGTTAATTGTTTTTTCTGCTGCATTAACAATTGCTGATTTCAGTATTTGCCATTGAACCTCCAGATTTGTCATGTGGTTGCTGTCTTCATGTTGTTTCAGTTTGTTCTTGATTATTTCTTGATATTTTGATGTAACAAAGGCGTTTTTCAGTGTCTCCGTGTTTAAAATTTGTTTGGGGCATTTTTTCTTAGTTATTTTTAGTTTTAAATGTAGGTTTGGTACCAGCAAGTTGTGATCACAGCCACAATCTGCACCAGGGTAAGTTTTGGTTTTAGTGATCATAGTCTTAATTGGTCAAAATATAGTCTATTTGATTTATGATTATGTTTATAGAGTTATTAGAAGGAGTTTTCCATGTATATAGTCTTCTTCTTGGTTGATCACACCAGGTATTTTCTATTGTTAAGTTGTATTTACTACATTTCTACATTTTACTACATTTCATTTTTTTATCTTAGACCAAATGGCCCTACAATCTCCGAATCGCTACCCTTGCCAACTTTTGCATTTAAATCTCCCATTATAATGGTAATTTCTTGTGACTTAGTGGTTTGCAGTGCATTTTCTATTTCTTCGTAAACTTTTTCTGTCTTGGTCATTTGTATCTGTTGTAGGTGCATATACTTGTATTATGTTTAACTTAAAGGGTTTTGTATTGATTTTCACAGCTATTACTCTGTTAGACTGTGCTTTGAACCTTTCCCTAGCATTAGCGAATTTTTCATTCATTATAATGGCCAGTCCTTTATTGTGTGTGTTACCTCCTGAGTGTCAAATTGTGTGGTTTACAACTTTCATTTTGCATGAATTACTCCA